ATCTTAAGTTGTATATATTTAATTTTGTAATATTTAGTTTTAATTTTATTTAAGTAATAGTTGTTATTTAAGTTTTTTTTAGAAATAAACAATATATATGTGGTGTTACCAAAATTGTATATGCAACTTGCGGCGTATTATTCATCTATGATCTACATATGCTTTTCATCGCCAACTAAAATAACGCAACTGACTAAAAAATGACATCTGACACTGTTGACAGAATAATTACCTGCATGAAACTGTTTATGTGGCGATTGGGAATCATAGGTATTTCCTGTCATTTCAGTTTTACTATATTTCCAAAATGCTACCTAAGATATTAATGTTTTTCATAGTTTAATGGTTGTTTTGTTTTACGTGTAATATTTCAATAGAAGCGCTATTAACGTTGTTAATTATGGAAGATCGCGCAGCTAAATTGGCGCTAGCACGAAAAAAGGTAATCTATGTCAATTATTTTTAATTTAAATTCAGTCAATTCAGTAAACCTCGATAAAGTTTATGTTTTTTACAATAATTGCCTCTTGATCAAAAATGTATTAACAGTTATGTGGCTATTTTGGTATTTCATCTTTAGATTAAAGCGCCGCACAATAAATTTAGATTAAGCTGCATTAAATTCTGAACATAGATATCTAAATGAATATACGTTGGCTAATACTCAAAAGGTTTCAAAAAAATAAAATTATTTTTATATATCTTGGTGTCTGATTACTATTATAATGTATGTTTTAATGAATTAGTGATTAGGTATGTCGAGAATCATATATGTACTTCATTTTAACTCTATATCATTTTTTTCATTGCACATGACTGGGGCACTTGATCCTTACTGATTGATTAACTGTGTTGAAACATCAATTGTATTTAATAACTGTAATAATACAGGGTTATCGGTCAAATACCAATGTCCTCTCAGGACTACGTTACTAACATAGTAATTAACAACTTTACTTCTATGATTTTTTACAAAATGTTAAACATTTACCAAAAACAAATCTTGATGATTTTGTTGTCCTATGTAACACATTTCAACTCATATTGTGCTGTACCAACATACCTAGGCTTGTCGCGCACTGTTTTAGTAATAATACTTTTGAGTTAATAACTCTCTTCGCTACGAAATCTAACATTAGAAATGGAAATAACCTTAATTTTAAACCGACTTCCCAAAAAAGGAGGAGGTTCTCAATTCGGCTGTATGTTTTTTTTGTGTGTATGTTACGCAATTACTCTGGCGTTTGTAGACGGATTTTGATGATTCTTTTTTTGTTGGAAAGGTAATACTCTTGGGGTGGTCCCATTTCCACCAGGTCAGGATCTGATGATGGGATCCCATGGAACTTGAGGGGAACTTTTCAAAATTGTATGGGCGGCCAGAGCGTTTGTCAACTTTTTGATATGGTATTTGAAACTACTGCAATTTGATGATGGTATGGAATTGATCTGATGATGGAGTCAAGAGACAGCCGAGGGAACTCCTCGAGAATTTGTAGCAATGCCCCCGAATGCCCCCGTGTTTGAGCTTAAATTATTTGTACTGAGAAGATCTTTACATCTTGATTGGATGTAATTGTAATTAGGGTAAAAAAAAAAAAAAAAAAAAATTAGGGGACTTATAATGAAGTAGGATGATAGCTAAGGGAACTCCTCAACGTTTAACAGTAGCTAGCTGGTGTTTGGGCTTGATTAATTTGTAGTGATGAGAACTTTACACTTACATGGGTTGTGACTGTCAATAGGGGCCTTATGATAAAGGATTATGATAGCTAGGGGAACTCCTCAACGGCTGACAGTAGCCACCTGGCGTTTGGGCTTGATTAATTTCAATGACGTTAGGTACACTGCTCCTCTTCAGTCTTGCAAATTGGATACTTCCAGATCCCGATAAAGTTATCGGGATCTGGAAGATTCTAAGTAGAAGCAAGGGCATTGACTTGCTTAGATAGCTTTTTCTGGTAGTTTGAGCCTCTCTGAGAAATTCCTTCTCTAACAGTTTTTAGCCTTAGGTCTTGTAAAATGTATTTGTTGCTAATGCTTTTGGGTATATTGTACATGCATCTCATTGCCTTCATTTGAAACCTTTCCAGAATTTCTATATTGCTGGAACTTGCTGTTCCCCAGAGCTCAATACCGTATGCCCAGATCGGTTTCAGGATAGCCTTGTATACTGCCATTTTGCTTTCATTCGATAGTTTAGAGTTTTTACCAATCAACCAGTACATATTTCGAAGAGTTGTGTCGAGCTGTTTTCTTTTGGTCCAGATGTGTTTCCTCCAAGTTAATCTTCGTCGAGATGCATGCCAAGATATTTAGCAGTTTCGTCTTGCGGTATTTGTTCGCCATTAAGTAGAACAGGAGGGCAGTTTCCTTATCTTAAGGTAAAAGTGACATGGACTGACTTGGTTTGATTAGCCTTTATTCTCCATTGTTTCAGCCATGTTTCAACTTCATTAAGGTGATTTTGCAGGGTTTCCGAAGCGATATCTGGATCCTTATCCACTGCCAGAATTGCAGTGTCATCCGCATAGGTGGCCATGGTGGTATGTGCGTGAGTGGGTACATCTGCAGTAAACAGAAGATACAAAACAGGCCCTAGTATGCTGCCCTGTGGGACTCCTGTAGACCTTGTCAAAGGCCTGACTAATATCCAGGAATGCAGCCGAACAATATTGCTTGGTTTCAATTGTATGACCGATAGTATCTGCCAATCTGTGTACTTGCTCGACGGTACCATGGCTATGTCGAAAACCAAATTGATGTTCTGGAAGTACTCTATCTAGGTGTGGATTGAGACGATTGATGATAATCCTTTCAAAGATCTTACTGAGAAGAGGGAGTAGACTCATTGGTCGGTATGACGACACTTCCTCTACAGGTTTGCCAGGTTTAGGGATCATAACAACTTGAGCAATCTTCCACTGGCTTGGATAATATGAGAGCCTCAGGCAGGCATTAAAAATGTTTACTAAGTAGATTATTCCTTTTCTCGGCAGGTTTTTCATCAGCGAGGAGTCTATAAGGTCATATCCAGGGGTTTTTCCAGATTTCAGAGCCATAATCATCTTATCTATCTCTTTAGGACTTACTGGTTTAATAGGTGCACAAAGCTGGTAAGGAGATTTTAAGTAGGTTATAATTTCTTTATCAGTTTCTGGGTTATTACTGGGGAAAGGTTTAAAGACACTCTGAAGATATTCAGCAAATACTGTTGCTTTTTCTAGATCGGATCTAGCCCAGTCCCTGTCCTGTTTCCTTAATGGTGGAACATGGATATCCGGTCGTTTCAATTTCTTTGTTGCGCACCAAAGTGAATACTTGGTGTCTTTATGGGGAGTTAAGTGGGCCAATTTACTCTGCACTGTGTGATTCTCCAGATCTTTGATAAGTATCTTTATTTCTTCTGTAATTTTTTTAAACTTGGAATTTATCCGAAGGATACCTTGTTTGTTGCCATTCTTTCCTCAATTTTCGCCGTTCTTGGACTTTGTCTCTTATTAGTTTGGGGTAGTTTTTCAGTTTTAATTTAGGGTTTTTTGTGTAGGTGTAGTTATACAGGCGGCAGTAAGCTGTATTGAATTTTTGAATGCTTATTTCTAGGTCCTCTGGCGATTTTAGTTTAATTTTTAGATCTAATGTTTCACTGACCATTTCTTGAAATTGTTTCCAGTTAGTTTTATGATTATGTAGTTTGATGGTAGTTTCTTGCAGGATAACTTTTTTGTACACATTTAGGATTACTGGGGTGTGATCTGAAGATAGGTCATGACACGCTTCTATTTTTATGTAACCTCTGCCAATATTTTTTGTTATATAGAAGTCTAATAGGTAAGGTATCTTGTTTTGGTCTGTAGGCCAGTATGTAGGTTGACTGTGGGATTTTAGATTCCATTCCAGTTTTAGATCTAGTGTACTTCTATATAGTTGTCTTCCTCTATAGTCCATCTGTTTAGGTAATTAACTAAAGGTAAACAAACAAAACCACGTGACACAGAGATACTTAACCTTCTATTACTACAAATATTTCTCGTGTTTTAATTTAAACTAAATTCACTTTAAAATCATTCATTTGTCACACTCACACACACATACAAGCACAAATGCCTAAATCGTACAAGAGCCTAGCCTATGGGTCTATTTCATTATCATGTTTAAATAGAAACTATTTTGAATTTGATGTACGGATTGCTTTCTTGTACGGATATGTGTCTTTGGGCCAAGTTTCTTCAATATATTTGAACACATTAATTACAAACGATGAATGACCTAAACTTAAATAACGTAATAACAAAAACAAAACAAAAACAAGATAAATTCAACAAAATAGGAACGCGAGCGCAAACGACGAGAGAGCTGTCAATGGCGCCTGATTAACCGACTAAACGTAATACACGCTACTTTCATTGTCGCGCTACATCTTAATTGGACTCTTTAATTTGACAACATTATCTAATGCTTCGTTCATAAAGAAAGGTTTTGGATACCTGGGATTTTAGGCTCTTTATGGTGTCTATTGTAATGAAATATTATATTATTTAATAAAAAATGTTATTAAATTATTATGCTCAAGCAGATATATATAATATTTACTAAGAAATAAGTGAAGACGAACAGAAACATAACATTTAATAGAGAAAACTGTCGTAAAAATGGGAACAATTTTATTTTCTTATGAAGTATATTGAGTCATGGAAATGTCAACTATAAAGAACTCTTTTTATGGTTTGTTTACAAATAGTTAACTACCTAAACAGACGGAGTATAGGATTGATAAGCCTTGAACCCCAATTAGTATGTTTGGAGTTCCAGTCTCCTCCACAGATGAAACGTGTGCCTAATTGGCTGAAAAACATCTTGAAATCATCAGAGGATATTACATGTCTTGGTGGACAGTACACAGCAGACACAGTAGTCAATTCCGATTTATGCTGAATACAAATAGAGGTTGCTTGTATTTTATCAGTTTTATATGGTTCAAGGAAGTGGTGTTTTATATTACTTTTGACTATAACGGCTGTCCCTCCATGCGAGTTTCCAGATGGATGTTCAGTCCTATATATGCTGTAGTTTTGTATTTTAATGTATGATTGACGTGTGAATCTCGTTTCAGATATTAGAGCAATATCAATGTTTTCAGTATTAATAAACAGTTCAAGCTCTTGCCTCCTATCAGTTAGTCCGTTGGCATTCCAGGTAATCAACCGGATACTTAGGCGCTCTGGGTTACTATCTGTGTAATAAGTTGGATCATCCGATCCATCATGCTGTACATCATGTTTTTCATGATTGCTTCAAATTTATTAACCATGGTGTCCAATAGGCTGGCTATATGTTCTGATTCATTAGGAATGTATGGGGTGTTGTTATTATGGTTTCCATTTTTACCTTTTAGCGTATCTGAATAACTTCTCTTGGGTAAGGGTGTTTTGAAGGTTTCATTCATGTTGTGTATATTTGTTTGATCTGGTTCTTTTGTATTCTTGACCTGTATGTTGTTGGATTTAGGTTTGATTTTAACTTAAGTATGTTTTCTTTGTATTCTCTGTATTTTGAGCATCCCTTATAGCTTGCCGGATGTTTGCCATGGCAGTTAACACATGTAGGTTCTGTCTCCGGAGTTTTAGTACACACGGCTACACATCGAGCTTTACATAACCAGTATATACTGAACGTTAAATGTGCGGAAAGATGATGCGACGCAGTACTAGGATAAACTGGTTTTGTATAGGTTGATGTGTGGCCGTGTGTACATGTAGTAGTTGGATGATCATTCCCACATTTTACGCATCTAAATGGTCGAAAACATTGATTTTTTGAGTGACCAAATCTCTGGCATCTCTTACATTGTATTACTTCCTTCTTCTTGTAAGGTGCTTCGATCGTGACTTTCACTTGACCAATATGTTTAAGATTGAAGATGTCTTTATTGTTGGGCCTTGGTTCCAAGTCTAAGAAGTACATTGGGAGTTTTTCTTTGGTTGTGCGATGTAATACATTAACTATTTGCCTAACTTCGTGTCCATTTACCCTGAGTTCTTCTTTTACAAAGGAAGTATCTTCACTAGAGTGGAGGCCTCTTATAACCACTCTATATGCTCGCTCGCACTTAAGTTTATAAGTATAATGATTGATGTTATTTTCCATAAGGTTGTTTCTTATAACTTTGTATGCTTCAATGTCAGTTGGCATTAATTTAATGATGTGACCGGATTTTAGGATAGCTAATGTGTATTTTTCATGTTCGATTACGCTGTTTAGGCGAGCTTTGAGTGGCCCTATGTTGACAATGCCAGTAACAAAAATAGGTTCTGGTTTTGGGATGAACTCTTTCGGTTTCTTGTCTGACTCATTATCATCATCGCTAAGAATTTCGAACTGATTTTGTGTAGAGATAGAGTAAGTTGTTCGTTTACTTGCAGGTTTAATTATATTATTACTTGTTGGACTATTTTCGTTTCTTTTCCGTTTTCTTATTTCAGGTACTTTGTCTTGTTGCCAGTCTTGATTTGGATTTTGATTCTGTTTCACGATTAAGTTTCCAGGCGTGGCTTTAGTGTAGTTTTCTTTTTGAGTTTAAGGTTAGGGTTAAGTTTTGTAGATTTGGTTGCTCCAGTGTTTCTATGGCGGACATACTGTTACACCGATTTCTTATAAACATGCTTTTATGGAATGTTTGTTGTACCATAGTGTTGGGGTTAATTTTGTTTTTAATATTATCATTAATGTTGTTCCCACGAGTCAGGTCGAAATATGTGGTCACATAAGGGGTGACGCCTATTCCCTGAAGAAGGCTGTATATAACGACGTTTGCCGGGTCCGTCGAGGTTGGCGCTTGTGTCTTAACTCCCTATAAGCCATGCATTCTGTCGGCGCGTTTCCCACCTTAGAATTAGGGTAAGTTTTTATAGAGGCTGTCTACCTCTTGACACGGACAATGAAGCCAATGCACCCGAATCCGTCACTAGAATGACGGATTTGCGGGTTGTGAAGATCATTTCCTATCTTCCACAAAGGCTATCTTGTTAGGATAGCTATGTCAGGTTAATTAACCGCCGCCTAAGACCCGGCGTTATTTAGCCGCTCGTTTAGCACCACCCGGGGGACACGTGTAGGGTGGGCCTTAGGATAAAGTGGTAACTCCTACGGACGCGAGCAACTTCGCCCCCTTAATTATATTAATTTCAAGTGATGGGAACTTTACACCTAAATGGGGTATGATTACTGTTAGGGGCCTGATGATGAAGGAGTATGATACCTAAGGGAACTCCTTAACGGCTGACAGTAGCTACTTGGTGTTTGGGCTTCATAAATTTGTTTTGATGAGAACTTTACACCTAAATGGGGTGTGCTTGTCATTAGGGGCCTAATGATGAAGTAATACGATAGCTAAGGGTACCTACTTATCAACAATGAATAGCTACTATTAACCGTTCACCTGATGTTTGAGCTTGAATAATTTGTAATTATGAGAGCTTTACACCTATGTGGGATATACGTAGTATACTGGGTCTATATAGCCCTGACTAAACTAAAAAGCATAAAAATAAAAATAAAAACTGCGTTTAAAAAAACCGGCTTCGAAAACCAAAACCTAGAACAAGCAAATGGTAAAAACTAAAAAGCAAAAAATAACTATTATTAGTCATACCTACTTATAGGTTACCCACCCACTGATAGGTTAGAAGTCGGTGCCACAAGCATATAAATAACAAAAATTTAACGTAGGTTAATGGTCATGGCTATAATTTGTCATAAAATTGTACACAGCTTAGGTAATATATATGTATATGGTATTTGTTACGGGTTTAAAGAATAACTTTTGTTTAAAACTTGTGGCACCGACTTCTAACCTATCAGTGGGTGGGTAACCTATAAGTAGGTATGACTAATAATAGTTATTTTTTAAAGAAACGCAGTTTTTGTTTTTATTTAGGGTACCTTCACACTAAGACCTTAATAAAAACAAACTACTAATGACTTTTTACAGTTTTCTGTAACAATCGCACCATTTCCGTGTACTCGACATTGGAATATCGATATGCTATCATGTAAAGATAATTCCGCCCGCATTATCGAATTTCACTACACGACATGACGACGGCGACGCATGCGCATCAAAACAAACGACCGACTTAGGAATGCCCCGTAAATAGGTCAAGTGCAAGCACGCCTCCCGTTTCAATTTTAGTCAAAACCAGGATAAGTCACAATAATTATTAAACCTATTATGTAGGATTTTATTTCATTACAGATAAGGTAACAATCACACCATAAGTCAATATTTTTTTCTATTCAACTAGGTGCGGTTCGGTTATTGTATGTTGAATTACATTATGGATATCAACACTTCAACAGATACCCTACCTCTAGTATAATTAAAAAAAAAAACTAAGAATTTTTATTTTCCAATTAAACTTTAAACAAATAAGAATAATTAACGTGCTTAATGTTCATACATTTACGGTTTAAGAATATACATACATAAACTCCGGTAAATATATCTAAAAAAAAATTGTCTTCCAAAGTGTTGCGGGCATATTTTGCTAGACAATTATTATAGATGGCATCTATCCATTTTTCTTTAATGCACCATCTCTAGGAAACCTATAAATAAATATTGTGCAAATTAAAAATCTACTGATGTACATTTTTGCTTTAAAGTATCTATGCAATCGGATAAACCTTTCTTATAACTTTTGTGTATGTTAGGCATTCATATCAAAATCAATATCGATATAAATGTATAAAATCTGTACTGACACATCATTGATTGCATTATTTCTATTTTTGCTCGCCAAAATAGCACAACACAGCATAGTTTCGTAAAAAAAAAAGTATTTCGAGACGCGTGACTTTACTTTAGACAAATAACCGTACTTATGACAAGCGTGCCACGCCTACATCACACGCCCCCTAATTTTTTCTATTCCATGGAAGGTTACCAGAAATAGATTATTCATAATATTTTTTTGAATAAATGTTTCAGCTTAAAGATCATCAAGATAAGAAATTAATTGGTGGTCAAAAAGAGGACATATATAAATCTGAAAAATCCGAAGCCTGTTTAATAATAAATGACAATGAGTCTCTGAAAACAGTGGTCAAAAATGATGAGGAAGTCCCTGAAATGATACAGAGCACACAAGAAATACAAAACCCTGATTTTGAAGCAAATGGAAATAACTATTTGTCATCTACCATCTCAAATACAGACAATTTAAAAAAATCTAATATAACTGAAAATAACATAATCCCAGAACCTGATTTAAATATCACTGAGATTTTGATTTCAAATAAAAGAAACCTAGAATTACAAGTTCATCACTTACAATCATCATTAGAACAACTGGAACAAAAAAATGCTCTGGTAGTAAATGATTATAAAATATGCAATCAAAAACTTAAAGAGTTAGAACATGAAATTAATAATATCAATGACAAATATATAAAAGCTACAGAGGAAATAACTATAAAAAATGCAAAACTTAATGAACTTAATTCTCTTCAGTTAACTTTATCCGAGGAAAATAGTAATTTGACTGAACAATTAGAATTTACAAAAAGTGTTTTACATTCTAAAGAGGCAGAAAGTGATTCCCTCCATAAGCAATTACTAAACGTTCAAAGCCAATATGATGTCATACACTTGCAGTTGCAACAACTAACTAATGGCTCACCAGTTACACTACCAGCTGAAAAACCTGTAAATGATGAGAAAACACAAGCTATGTCACAAAAAATATCCTATTTAGAGCAGCAATTGACTTCTTTGCAAAAAGAAAGGGATCAAATCAACGCACATTATGAACACTATGTTGCTGAATTAAATGAACAATTAAGCTCATTAGTAAGAAAAAATGAGGAACTTGTACGAAATGTTGAAAATTTGTCAAACAGAGAGAACAGTTTAATTGAACAAATAAGTGACATGGAAATTAGGATACAGAATTACAACGTAGATAAAAAAAACTTTGAAGTGGATCGTACTACTACAACTATCAAGGATCTACAAGATAATTTGGTAAAAGCTCTGGTGAGTAATCTATATACATATGGATTTGTCAGTTTTACAGCGATCGGGTTGAAATTCGGCATGCAGGTAGGTAGATGTTAAGACGTAAGCATCCGCTAAGAAAGAATTTTGATCATTTCCACCCCCCAGGGGGTAAAATAGTGGATGAATGTTTGTATGAATCTTTGTCAGTTTTACACCGATCGGCTTGAAATTTGGCACGCAGGTAGATGTTATGACGTAGACATCTCCTAAGAAAGGATTTTAATGAATTCCAACCCTAAGGGGATAAAATGTCCCCGAGCGTACGGCGCGTCGCGTTCCGCGCGCGCCTCAAAGAGCCATCAGACCACCACAGATGGATGCCGATTCGGAGTCGCGGAGAACCTAACGGGTAACCGGGGCTCCGGCTCGACGTGCACGAGAAGGAACGGGGTGGTTTTTAGTCAGTAAGAGTCTGACACTCCCTCCCGACTCGCCCAGGTGGAAGCAGTCATTCGATGATTTTCTCCCCTTAAAAAAAGGGGGATAAAATAGGTGATGACAGTTTGTATAAATCATTGAATCTTATTGACTTACATTCGGTTAAACGATAATTTGAGACCTGGTACACGATGTGTGTATGATAGTTTTTATCACAGAAGTCCCACGCGAACGGAAACTATTCGTTAAAGCTCCGGGACTCTATCTCTTAACCACTTAACTTGTTTTAGAGTGACTCGGTGCAACAATATTTATCACTAATTATTCTACGCGGACGAAGTCGCGAGCAACAGCTAGTTAGGTACCTATATTACAATACAATGTACTTGACAACAATTGCTCTTCTAAAAGCAATTTTATATTACCCACTCTACGGTACTCATAGGTACCTACTTTGTTAGGAGCTCACGTCAGGAATCTAAAAGAACAAACAACACACAAACATCTTTGAATAGGAACAATAAAATTAATTTAAAGTTAAAATGAAAAAGGTCCTCTTAAGGCATCAAAAATTTACCTCATTCTAATTATTATTTTTAGGTAATTTGACAGTGTAACTTTCCTCATTTGTTGTATTTTTTTTTTAAGGTAATTTTAAGGTGTAAATATTTTAGCTATTTATATTTTTCTATAGTTTCATTGTTTGAAATTAATTTCTTACAGGATGATCTAAACGAATTGAAAACAAAGCATGAATGTCTTCAAAATCAGTATGCAGAAAGTATTGCCAAAGTTCAGGAACTCTCAGACGTAAAGGAACCTGAATGTAATCATGATAACATTAGCCTTTCCAAGTTAAATGCTGATATGACAAGTGATAAAGTTGCAGCTCAAAGAGCTACTGAACAAAATAAGCAATTGAAGCAAGATATTCAGCGTTTGGAAGATGCATTTGTTAAAATGGTAATATCCTTCAGATTTATATTTCCTTTCTGTAAAGTTCAAGATTTAGATCTAAATGAAATTAAATAGACTTATGCCCGGTTTCTAAAAGGCTGATCATCACAAAAATCAACATTCCATCCATTCACTTCTGCATTAGAAAAAAAGAGGTTCATAGAAGTAGAAGTGCACAATATTTATTTTATTTAAATTAATTCAAACTATTTTCATAAATTATGATTTCAATATAAAGCATTATCTAAACTTAGACTTTGATAATTATTAAGTAAGTACTAAACAGATGCATTTATAAATGAATTAGGTTTTGTTTTAAATCCATATAACTTTCATTAAAAACAATAAAAAAATGATGTATTAACAAATTCTTCAAGGAATTCTTTCAAGGAAATATAAATAGTTTTATTTTTGTAAATAATTTTTTTTCGTAAAATGCATGGAAATAGAGATATTGTAAAAAAATGTATTTGGCCGCCATTTTTCCAAGATTACAAAATGTTAATCGAAAAAATAACCTTCATGATCGAACTTGAAACTATTTGTCACTTTTATTACAAAGTGTACTCCAAAAATAAGCTTTTTTGACTTCTGTCTAATGCTACTGTGAATAAACTATAGTATCTGAAAGGCTGATCAACTATAAGCAGCTGTTAAATCTCTTGACAGGTGATAGTTGATTAACAACTATCATATGTCACGCTCTTTGTTAAGAGCGTACTTCGTTTCATATAAGAAGCCGGTTATCCAGCCAGCACCGATCCAACTGTGCAGTCTGTTTATTTATTCACTATATTTACTTCGAGATAATTATGCCAAATAATTAATACCTACGAGTAATATTTTTTTTTATTTAACTGGAACTAACGACACTGTAATGTATAAATTAATATAAATAATATTATATTTTTTTAAATACATGTCTTTTCACGCAATAAAAATATGGCGATAAGCGAATTCCACTCTTGAGTCTAAAACAAAAATAACATTGATACCTCTGATATTTTTTTGTTTGTGATCGCATCTTTAACAAATTGGAAAATAACTGAATAAAACTAAAACTGGTTATAACTTTTGAACCGTCAAGAATCGGACCCATATTCCCAGAGCAAAAAGATAAGGAATGACCTCCTCTATGACCCATTTGATCCATACTTCCAGAGACACCTGTGTGCAACTATATCTGTGTGAATATGTATAAGATACCAATTTTTTATCTATCACTCGCGACGTCTACTACTAAGTCACGCGCGAAATAAAACTGATAATGGAACAGCTGTTTTCATTCAATATTTTGTTTGCGTAACTTTGAAATATGTCACGTCACGCTTGGGGGGGGGGGAGAGTCTCACAAATGTGACCAACTGCGACAAGGACTGGGAAAGGGACAAAAAATAATGAAATTTAGTGTTATGTATTTTATGGATGAACCTATATTGTATCCATAGTCTCCTATAACGAGCAATACAAATGTTTTTTACTATTTCCGGTGCAGTGTTAAGAAGACCTATTACCGTGTTAACTTTATCGTTGAGTTTTGAAACACTTGTATATTTGTAACATAATATATAATCACTACAACCCCAGTAAGTTCAAATATCAGGCGTGACACTACCTTTCTAAAGAAATTAAATCGAGTATAATTAATATGCTAGCAAAGCATAAAAAAGCTCATGACATTAGATTTAACACCCGATTCGTAGATTTTTGCAATGATCGGCCTTTCAGCTGGGGTGTAATCATAGTTATATTATATTTTCTTTATAGTTCATTAAATAAAACAGTTACTATTAATAAATCATTAACATTTTTAGAGTAAAGATAAATTGGAACTAACAGAGAAAATTACGGCTGAAAAGTATCTGAACAGAGAACTTACCATTAAATTATCAGAAGTAGAAGAAAAAGCAAAGGATATGCAAATTAAGTTGAAAGCCAAAGATGAAGAGATGATAAGATTGCAATCGAACTATCGCGAAATTCAAAAGCAATGTGACGATTTAATGAATTCCGATAGAAACGTAAACACAAGAGCCTCAGAAGCAGAGAAACCAGTTCCGGAAGTGAATATAGTTAGTGGATCACATGCACATACTGAAACAGATACAGACTGCAAACAGTTACTGCATGAAACAGATGAAAGAAATGAACACACTAATAGCCTCCAGCGAGCAGACGCGATGGTCAAACTTCAGGACCGTTTCCTCAAGATAATGGCTGAGGTTGCAGACTTATCTGATGAGAAGCACAGGTTGGAACATATAATTTTACAGCTCCAAAACGAAACCGATACCATTTGTGAATATGTTGCATTATATCAACAACAGAGAAGTTTGTTAAAACGGCGCGACGAAGAAAGAAGTGCGCAGTTAAAAGTTTTTCAACAGGAATGTGGAAAACTCAAAAGTGAATTAGACGAACTTGGTGGCCTTCTTATTCGTTTTGCTGAAGATAAAGAATTATCGTCCTATTTCGTAACCGAGTCGAAACGTATTGACATGGAAAGGGTAATGACTTTACTCGCCAATCTTAAGAATAACTCTTTAATTGATATCAATAAGAAAAATATTGAGTTTAAGAACTTTTATCCTTGTAACTGTTGCTCCGGAAAACTAATTGATGTATAGAATATAATAAAATAAAATTAGTTTAGATTTGGTTTATAACAGCATAAATCTGTCCATCGAAGTGAGGTATAACTTGGTCGCAAGGCACGATGCACCAACAAATACAAAAAAATGTGCACCAGGGGCTTAGTCTTTTCGCTAATAATCGACCATTTTACATCTGTTATCAATCAACCTGCGCCCACAGTCTCTCATTTATTTTTAACTAAAAATATTTTAATGCCTTTTAATCAAATTTCGAATGTTCATGAAACCTAATAAAGGTAAATGTTAACAATTATTTAATAAAATCGCTCTTACCAAGAATATTTCTTTTGTTAGTATTAAAAAATATGTTAGACGTGGAGGAATAATGGGTCATCGCTATGGAACAGGTTGGTGTACCTCTGTTTGTTAGTGAGTTATCGAAAGGTAATCTTCAGTAACAATTTTTTTCTTATTTCTTTCAGTTATAAAAACAAATTCCAACATATAAAAGTTTGAGGGTAGATGGTCTGTAAAAAGTATAACACACTAATTGATGGTAAAATAGGAGGCTGTAGAAAAGCAGCTCAATAAATACAGCCTTCAGCTATGTGAATAGTGGGTTAAAAGTTGCGGGTATAATGTGTTTTATACCGGGAGCCGGAGTTTTAACAGATAAAAGGATATCATATGTATCACCTGAAACATTTTCTTTTTATCTTTTAAGCCTTCCCAAGACTTAAATAATTCTAGACAAAAAGAAGCTAAATCGGTCCAGGCGTTTTCGAGTTTTAGTGAGACTAACAAACATAAAAAACTGCGTTGATAAAAACTGACTTCAAGAACTAAAAACTAACGAAAAGTAAAAACTAAAAAGCTAAAAGTAACTATTATTGGTCATACGTACTTATAGCTTACACACCCACTGATATGTGAGAAGTCCATGCCACACGTTTATTATAACCTTATTAGATAGGTACACAAAACACCGCTAATTATTTAGCAGCGCCACACATCGACACTACTATCTTTTACACAGTGAACATGTGTGGGTAATTTCATATTACTGTGTATAAAAATATTCGTCCACCACATTCACATTGGTATTTTCATTCTTGTGTCGGTATAAGTATTTTTATAATTTAATACAAGGGTAAGGTTAAAACTATTTACAATCATTGATATGACCCGACATTTTGACGGGTATTAACGTAGTGTTCGTGGTCGACTGGTTAATGAGCATGCTTTTCAATCAAAAAAATGATCAATGATGATGTGAGTTCTATTCCAGCTGAAAGATTCTTTTTTTATTTTACTATGTAGTTTTTCTTATTTTTTTTTTTGTTTTTTGAAATATTAGATCAGGCTATAAAAGAAGCAGATAAGTCGGTAAATAAAACTACTACTATCTTTTATTACAATTAATTTATTTATTATACAAATAAGTGGTTTTATATTCAATATTTATAATAATTAATTATCATACCACAGTTAAGTTCTTAAAGTTCTTTAAATAATAATTAATCAATATGCCAATAAACCTTATAGTCGAATTGGGAAATATCATGCGATAAAGTATATACTTTTAAAATTAACATAAGAAGATTTAGAAAAATAGGATAGAAAAAAAAGAAAAGATTAAAACATTGTTTCAAATTTCAAATATTTGATGAATGAATTCTTGAAACAATTTGTGAATGCTGGAATCGATCCGGCGGCAGTTTACTGGAGGTGATAACCATTAGGTACGCCAAACGCGCTGTGAATGAGATCATCGAAATATTGTATACTATTCAGTAACATAAAAATACGATGAGAAAACACTATATTTATATGGGTACTGTATAGCTCGATTGCTCATTATTTGATTTCGATTGATTCAAAGTTTGTTATAAGTTATTTTTATCTTTACCCTCGTTTTTATTTAAACTTGTTTACTAAATAATTACGTATACCGACACAAAAATGATATTTAAATATCAAGATGTGTGTGATAGACGAATGTTTCTATACATATCTATTAATATGAAATTACCCATACTAGTGTCGATGTGTAGCGCTGCGAACTAATTAACGGTGTTTTGTGTACATTATTTATTTATTTTATTTTCAGCTATGATCGTCCCACTGCAGGGCAAAGGCCTCCCTAACCTCCTTCCACTCCTCTCTATGTAAATATATAATTATAATCTATGTAAAAATAAATAAGTAAAGCTTTTTGCGGCCATTCCTTGTCATAGATGTCTAATTCGTCCCGCCATCTCCTTTTGGGCCTGCCGCGACTTCTACTGACGTTGAGTGGGCTCCACTCAGTAGTTAGATACCTACCTAAAATTATTAAGCTGTTTATAATTTTATTATGCGCCCTGATACACACTTCTGGACACGTCTATTGGCCCACCTTAGCTAGCCTTTACCGAAATATGATTGCTAGATTGAACAAAAACTGTTGATGCAGTTTTAAACCTGATACCTTTTTACCATCGTTTTCGATCGTATTGTTTTTAACCTTTTCGCCGCCAACGCACACAAAACGCAATGCATCGCCGAGCGCCAAGCTATAAATGTATAATACGAAAACGAAAATAAATAAAAACTGATGAAATATTTCCAGATTTGTTTTATGTCTCAGTTAATAAGAAAAAACAGTAGAATTTATGAGTATCAAAAAAACTAATACATAACTTAATTAGAACTATAGAAATGGGGTACATCTCTATTTGTTTCGTGATCTCATTCTTTAACTTCATATCAAGTTATTGGCACTGAGGGCACGTTGAATTCGACTCTGATCAGGGATCTTCTATTTTTGTTTGTTCCTGTGTTTTAATTACTTCAGTCAACGTTTTTTACCGTATCTAAGTGGCAGAATTTTTAATTGTATTTTGAAATGGGAAGTAAGAATATATTTAAATTCTATCACGCTTGAAGCCGTGTACTTATCAAAGCATTGTTTTTTTAATTTCATTATATCTACAACTAGCGGCCCGCCCCGACTTCGTCCAGGTATAATTCTGTAAATTACATCCCTACCCCTACCCTACCCTACCCCTACCCCTACCTAAAGTGATTATTGTAGAGCTTCTCTATAAACAACATTTGACGTTAAATTATTTTCCTAAGTCGCTGCACACGATCGACACTCGACTCTCTTTCGCGCAACTGAGTGGTCCTTATATTTTGTTCATGAAGACGTTGGGAACGCTCCAGCCTCGACTCTTGAGCGCGTAACTCGGAGGTTCTCAGATCTTGTTGTGCAAGGCGTTGAGAACGCTCGACACTTGACTCTCGTTCGCGTAAGTCAGAGGTCCTTACATTTTGTTCATGAAGACGTTGGGAACGCTCCAGCCTCGACTCTCGTGCACGTAACTCAGAGGTTCTCAGATCTTGTTGTGCAAGGCGTTGAGAACGCTCCAGCCTCGACTCTCGTGCACGTAACTCAGAGGTTCTCAGATCTTGTTGTGCAAGGCGTTGAGAACGCTCGACACTTGACTCTCGTTAGCGTAAGTCAGAGGTCCTTACATTTTGTTCATGAAGACGTTGGGAACGCTCCAGCCTCGACTCTCGTGCACGTAACTCAGAGGTTCTCAGATCTTGTTGTGCAAG